TAGTCTAATAGCTGTTCATCGTTGTATTTAATCCTTCCTACTACAACCGGGGTACATTTTGAACCTATACTCCGAATGTTTTGCATATGCAAATAATTAACAGTTATTATATAAGTAATTTTGTTTTAATATTTAAGTTTGTTTATACACCCTTCTCCCAAAAATTATTTTTTTTTTATAATGTTATATCTATAAAAATGTTTCTTAAATATGTATTTATTTAATGACAACCTTTTGCACTAAAACTTCTACTTTAATCTCGGAGACAAAATGTACCCAGGTTATCAAAAAATGTACAAAAAAAGCTTAATGTTGAAGGGTTAAAAGATTAACAAGTTTAAAAGTAAAACCGGGAGTGTTTCGCTTCTAACAGTTCAACTTGGATGTGTTGTGACTTCTAATTCAAACAAAATTAGAGGATGGTGTATAATTTACATGTAAAAATCGAAACAAGCACAGTCAACTTGTATTTAGTATTACAATATAAATTTGAAGAGGAAGCAGACGTTCTTTCTAGGAAGTGGTGTTTTTTCTTCAAGCTGCTGTCACTCTGAATAAATAATTCTCATACCGGTACTTTCTGCACAATCATTTTACTACTGGATGATCAAACTTCAACTTCTGAAATCATAAATATCATTTAACATTTATGGGATATTGCAAGAGAAAAAATAAAAACTCAGCTCAAAAAGGAATCAAAAAGCGCCCTTTAAAATTGTTTGTAACAATTTGAACAATTGGTTCTGAATTGCATTTGAAGAGTACAGGGGAAAAATGATCAGTCACAAAAATTATTTTTCATAGAATTAACAAAACAAAGAATACAGACTCATATTTTTATGCTATATAGCTTTTACTTTTAAAAATGCAGAGACTGTGATCGTTTTACTCAAACTCTGGCCATATCAGCAGAAAGATTGGGTCTAAACCTATAAGATAGCAGTGTTAGTTTATTTTAAATAAAAATGGACTGTAATATTTTCCCCTCAACCCTTTATTTGATCTAAAATCTCTCTATCTAAGGTGCATCAGACAGACATAAAAGAGCATTGGTATAAATTACATTTGTTCTAATTACTTTGAAAACTGAAAAAAAAAAAAAATTAAAACAACTCTCATAAAAGGCATATATTGAAACAGTTTCATGTTTTAACCTAATTTTGTCTACATAACATAAGTGGCAAGTAAATTACTTTACCATACACCAAGCAGGACATATTGTAAAAATAAGTGTTGAAAAATAGTATTCTATATTCTTTAAATTCAAATACTTTAATAATTAAAAATCTAAATGAATTTTTACACACAAATGCATATCAACTTCTAACATGCTGACAAAGTGATACATAACAAGTGTGAGAATGTATAAAGGATGTATGAGAATGTTTGAGTAACTATAAAGAATGTGAGGATTTCTGAGGAAGTATTTGCATTCATTGTTACAAATTTAAAACTTACCATTAAAAATAAGTCAAGAAATCCCTGCTGTTTTGAACAAATTTGTCATGATCTAACAGTAAAGATACATATCTCTGGGTCTAGATAAAATACTTATTATTTTATCGTCTTTGGTCTTTGGGGGCAACGGCGGCGTATCAATTTGGTTTAAAGTTTTCTCTCCTTTGACGTCTTTTGAATCTGTAAACAAAAATAACGAATAATGGGTATGATAAACTGATATATAAGTCAAAAAATAAATCCTACACTAGAACTAATCAAATATCATACACAGGTATTACATTTTTCATAATCATTCTAAGAAAATCGTGTAAAAAGGACTCTAAAAGTATAAGAATCGTCATTTGCTCTAATTTTTTTTTCAAAAATTCGGCGTCAACATACTTTGTGTTTATTTATGATGATAAAAGGCAACAGAACACTCAATATTACCAATTATTTTTCCTTACCCACACTTGTTTTGTAAAACGCAGAAAAGTAATATTTTTATTTAAATAAATACCAAAATATGTATTCAAGAAAATTTTAAATTTAAATTTAGGAAGTGTCAAAACTGTCAAATATCTTCTTCTATACAATAAGCAAAACACTGGCCTCTTTTTTCAAGAAAATGGGCCAATAGCAACTGGCCTGTTTCAATCGATAATTTGGCTACTTTTTTTAACCTTAGTATTGTACGACATAAAAGGCACTTAAAAAAAAGAAAATTACTAGATTTCTTCACGAAAGAGACCGTGAAAATATTGAAAGTATAGAAGAATGGAATAACCAAAAATCTACCTGTCAAAATAAAAAATTATAAATATACAAATAATAGGTAATTTGCAATTCAAAGGCACTACTCGGGAAGCCTGAGGTAAATAGCAGAATAATTAATGACCACAATATGTCTTCCATCAAACAATTAATAACTTTAAGGTCCCGTGGAATTCAAAGGCGCTACACAGAAGCCCGAGGTAGATGGCTTTCATAGTTTAAACTCACAATGATCGTTATTAGCTAAGCCCTCAGTATAATATAGATCTCTGATGAGATGTAATGGCATCCAGTATGGTATATAAAGAAAAGAGTGCTACATTATAGTTTGCTCAATACATTTAAGTGATCATTGAAAGAGACCTACCACTCTTCTAAATTTAATATTATATGATATTCATAGTCAAATATTAAAGTATATTTAGCGTTACGTATTCGTTTAAATTTCGAACACTTACAAATATCAACCCCAGGGGTCTAGGAACAATAACTATTACCCAAAAATTTGGCAATATCTATACCTACATAATAAATATATAACCTGCTTATTTTTGCACTAGACAGAAGCCCTAGGTAGATGGCTAGATTTTAAATAATAGATTCCACAATTATTTGTGAAGCAAAAAAAAAATCTGCTACCAAATGATGTGCATACCAGTTTTTTTTTTGAATAAAACTCAAAATTTAAACAAACGTTTTAATGAAAAAGGCACAAGCCAAACAAGAACAATCTCTAAAAGATTGCCCATCTTTTTCTATTTATCAAAAAACCTTTCCTAATAATGCAAAATGCTAAGGGCAGCAATCACTTAATAAAATTAAATATAAAATACTTTTTGATATTTTTTTAACTCTGTATAGAAATGGTTAAAATAAACTACTTTTCCAAATAATTCTTTTCAAAATCTTGTGTTTTTATCTTATTTTTCGTTTTTTCGAACGAATTACGGCCAATTAAAATTAAAAAAAAAAAAAAATAACAAGTCCGGTTACCAAATATGAACTGTAATTGATGGGTTTCTTACTAGAATGAATATGAAATATATTCGTGGCTTACTTTTTCGTTCTGTAGCTTCTGTGTAGAATAGATAATATTCATTTGGGAGTGGAAAAAACATAGTCATACTCTAGAAAATTATTAAAATAAAAATTTAAATATTACATGTTTGTATCTTCCATATTTAAATATTTTCCATTGCAATATATTTCGTGACATTTCTTCAACAGATTTAATTATGTACTCTACAGACACTGTTAGCTGTTTTATACCGCCTGATATTTTCAGCTTTTGAAGTTTAGTTTTCATTGAAACTAAGCTGGGAAGCAGATAGATATAATAGGTGTTATGCCCTCCCTGTAAAAATCTAATGTTTCAGCCAGAGGCTGCATTAATTTGATATATTCCTTCTAAAAGGTCATTTCATATTCCTTAAATACCGGAATCAGTGTTGCCAGTCTAATACAATTGTACTAGATCTAGTACATTCTCTGAGAATCTCGTACTCTAGTACACTCGAAACAAAATCTAGTACTTTTTTTAGCATAGGTTATTAGGTAAGGTATGTTTCCATTTGAAGTGTAAAATATATTGGTCAAAAATTACAAGAGAAATTAAAATAGTTGTTAAAAATTACTTCAGAGATAAAATAATAGACATTTCTCGAGAGATAAAACATTGTTTAAAAATTGCACGAGAGATCAAATATTGTTCAAAAATGTCTTGAGAGGTAAGAAAGGGTGTTAAAAATGACTTGAGGGGCAAAATATTGTTTAAAAATTGCTCTAAGGATAAAAATAGGTACTGTTAGAAATTTAATGAGAGATAAAAATATTTAATAATTTTCCAGAGATTAATAGTATTATAAATTGTTAAAATAGTGTTAAAAAATTGCTCGAGGTAAAATAGTATTACAAAATGTTAAACCCTTGTTCAAAAATTGCTCTAGGGATAAAATACTATTGAAAAATTTGTTGAGACATAAAATATTGTTCAAAATTGACTCAAGAGATACCTACTATGTATTAGAAATTTCTCGAGAGATAAAACATTGTTTAAAAATTCCTCGAACGATAAAATACTATTAGAAAATGCTCGAGAGATAAAATATTGTACAAACATTGCTCGAGATATAAAACATTCTTAAAAATTTATCGAGAGTTAAAATATTTTTATAAAGTTGTCGAGGGTTAAAATATTGTACAGTTTGCTAAAGAGATAAAAAAAGTTGTTAAAAATTGCTCGAGAATGCAACATGCGCCACGAGTCCCGACTTCCGTACGCGCTCGATCGGCAATAAGACAAGAAAAAAGTGTTAAAATTTTCGAAGTACTGAAGTACATTCTGGGTATTTAAGTACATTGACATACTAAAGAACGTTATATAAGTACTTAATTGACTTCTTTCTTCACTATTTTAAGCAAAAACTCCAAATTTCACTGTTTAAGTACAAAGACAATGATTTAAAAATGTAAGTACAAGTACAGGCCTTTTTGCAGGTACTTAAAATACAGCTTTGCCAGGAAATTGTATTTTTGAACATGGTAATCCTACCCACACTTATACATATTTCACTCTATTATTATTATTGCTCAAATTTCAATAATCCATTAAGTGATAGTCTTTATGCTCGACCAGACAGCGCCAAAGCCAAATGAGCTTTCTCGAGGGACTGCGGCGATAATGGTAATCTTGGTACCGCGAAAGGTGTACCGCTATCGCCCGTACTACGGCTAAAGAGTTATTCAACCTTGGCGCGAGTAGAAATCACAAAGACTCATTTAGAAAGTTGTTGTCTTGCAAACGTGTAACAAATGTCGATCCACATAGCAAAGATTCAGTGTGACTGAAAAATTGCAAAAATGAAACTAACGGTATTAAGATGAATTTCGTGTCGTTTGTGTCCTTCTTCACATTTCTATTTAATATTAACGGTGAGTGTACCTATACATACTTATGTAAATTCAGTAGTTTCCGGTAGATATTCTTTACGAAATGATTCATGGTTTCAAATATTCACCAAAAACTGCACCCATTTTCTATACGAAAGGAAAGTCCTTAAGATACATTAGAAATGGACTTATTATCTATTTTAAACAATTTTTAAATAAAAAATGATCTTATAAAGTCAAAAGCGCTTGCAAGCTTAAACATTTTTTTTTAACTAATAAAAATTATTAGTTGTTAACATATACTTTGTGTATTTCTCTCCTTTCTTCACAATTAATATTATTCACCAGAAATAAAGTGAATGTGGCCTTTTCCGACCAGGGAAAGGCTCGAGATGATTTTCTTTTTGAAAATAAACGATTAAATTTAGTGTTTATGTCTAATAAAATAGTTACAATGGGACACAGAGTGAATAAAAATAAACGAAAAATATTTAGTTTGACCCAATTATACCATTATACAATTTTAACCATGTGGAATCTTTAACTTACCTAAAATTTGGTTAAAATTGTACCCTAAACAAAGACGGAAAATGTTCCAAAGTAGAAAATTTCGTTAATTCAGCCTAAATCAGTATATTATATTTTTTTTTATATTTGATTAGATTAATATTAAAGCAATATTACAGTAAATTGAGACTAAAATATTATTTTAAAAGTTATTAAGTTAATAAACTATTTTTTTGATGGGTGCGTCGTGGTTATTAGCTCTTAAAATATTTAGCAATAATTAATTCGTATTTCTATTAGAAATTTTAATAAATATTGTAAAATAAACACACTATTACAAATCAATTTTTGAGTAAAAAAAGAAATTGAAAAGATAAATTAAAATTAATAAACATAATTCCGAATTTCAAAGAGGAAATTAAATTTGACTGCAATGTTGTCAGGTCCAACCATTTATATTGCAGGCTTTTTTACTCACTGGTTGTTAATATTAAAAATTTTGCCATCAAAAGAGCAGGCATTTCAAGAACCATATTTTTTCTTAGCCATACAAAGTGTCTTGAAACATGTTTTAAATATGGCTAATTTTAAATTCAATTTACTCAATTTTTTCAAATGTAATACATCCGTATATTATTTTAGCATAAAATTCATTTTTCCTATTCAACGATAGTCAATAACACATATACAGGGTGTCTCATCAGTGCCTAATTGATCGATAGCTGTTTTATTATTGGAAATACAAAAAAAAAAAAAAAAATAATAATATAAAAGTTGTATGACCATAAGCAAAACACCCTACACATCGTCAAACAATTTTGAGACTTCATTTATTTGCTATGTTGTATATAAGGTGTTTCAAATTTTAATTTTTTAAATGGATTACCCTATATGTTATGCTACCAATTAATTAATAATAATAATAGCTTTTATTGCCCAACAGATATAAATCCTTTACAGAGCAACCTAATAAATTATTAACAATATAAGTAGTAAAGGTGACATGATAAATAAAGAATTATAAAATAAAAAGTATCATATAAAAACTGAAAAATCAATAAAAATAAAAAACTCAAGCATTGTCATAATAGTTACAAGCAATTGCTGTAATACTTATCAAACCAGAGCTGGGCAGTATTTATATTTGTAAATACTTTTTAGTATTTAAATACTCTTGGATGAGTGGTATTTGCAGTTGCAAATACTTTCGTAAGTATTTAGTATTTAAATACTTTTTCATCAGTTTGTATTTAAGCGTTAGAGAAGATTCTTCATTGAGCTAGTTGTCAAGTTGTGACTGTTGTATCTAATATTATGATTTTACACAGTAATTAAAAAATGTTAGAGGTACAGATGGTCAGTTAAAAGTAAGTCTATATAAGAAAAGATATTATAATTCCAAATAAGTCTGCGCGGTTTAAATCACTATAAGGATACAATGAACAACAGTTTACTTAAGAATTTTGTTGTAAAAAATGACCAATTGCCTTTCTGTAGGATGACTTAAGGACGAAAAATGGCAAATACAAGAAAAAATATTAAAAGCAATACTTTTATCCATTAACAAATAATTTTCATGCACTGTGGCAATCTATTTAAAAATATATCCAAATCCAAACGTCATTTTTCGAAAATTATGATACAATATTGCTTTATGAAAGACTTTAAGCTGATGGAATAAAAAAGTCATTATTACTGGTTTTGATTGGTCAGTTTTGGCTAGATTTGGTTGGTTTACTCCGATATTATCTCAAACATTTGGTAAAATCGTAAGTTTGAGACATTTAAAAAGTAAAATATTCACTTGCAAGAGTAACGTTCTTCAGCACGTTTTTATTAACTCGTTTTTCTGTATATATGTATGTCTGTATGTTCGGTATAAATTTTGCAATTGATTTTAAACAAACTTCCAATTAGCTAGATAGAGACTTTATTTTATTAATAATTTGGTCAACACATGTAAACTTAATCACAATGCAAAATTGTGGGGTACAAAAGTTAAGACGTTTTTTTTAACATACCAAATTTTTAAACGTATTAAAAGATAAAATATTTTTTCTGTTGTATTTATTAGCTATATACTCTAATCTTGGTGTTAGGCCTTTAAGAAAATTATATAATTGTTTTATTATTATGATAGTATTTAAATACTTTTTAGCATTTTAATACTACATAAATATTTAAATACTTTTTATGTATTTAAATACCTTTTTAGTATTTAAATACTTTTGTGTAAGTATTTATCCCAAACAAGTATCTAAATACTGTAGGTATTTGTTATTTAAATACCTTTTGCTTTAAAAAAGTATTTAGGATTTAAATATTCGTATTTATGAAAAACTAGTATTTAAATAATTTTAAAAAGTATTTTGCCCAGCTCTGTATCAAACTATCATTGAAGATATTCGAAGAATTACAGTACAGGTTAAAGTTATTACACATGACATTTAGAGGTGAGCTTAATAGAATATTTGTTCTAGATCTATTACAGTAAAAAGTTAAGTGATGTCTGTTATTATACCGTGGAACGTTTAAATGAATTTTAGCCAAGATAGCAGGACACTCAATTAACCCATTCATGATTTTATGTAAACAAGTCAAAATAACTTGAAATATATATTTTTTTTAATTCAAACTTTATATATTTACAGTTTTAAAAGAAAAATCATATTTTAACTTAAAACATGAGTTATTATATGTCTCAAAAAGTTTCATAGCTATGTGAAAAATATTTTACATCACTTGACAATCCATATATCAAATTTGTAAATTATTAGGTGATAACTACGCACGATTCTGAATTAAATTTTAACTGACGTGCCTATTTTAGAAACATTTTTGTGTCCCTATTTTTCCATGATAAACAATCAAAATTGTCTTTTTTTTAACAAACGATAAAGCTTACTATTTTATTTTCAGTATATTGTCAGGACGATGATGGTCCGTACCGTGGAAAATTCCTAGGAAAACTTAACTCTTACCACCATCAAGTTGCTGGAGACGTTTATGCCGTTAACGATTGGACTCTACTCATAACTTCCTTTAGCTACGACGGAAATGGAGCAGACACGTTCTTTTGGGCGGGTGCAGCCAATAGACCAGGTCCTCAAGGATTTATCGTCCCAGATTCAAATGGAAAGTGAGTACAAACTTAAATTGTAAAAATCAATTCCACCAATTTTATTTTTTATATTTATTAAAATTGTTAAGTAAATAAGTATCATGTTATTTTCCTTCTATTGCCTTTCATTCATCTGTTCTATTTTTGTAATCACAATCTCAGATAAAACTTTCTCTTCTGATTTTCTTTTAATAAAAGGAAAGCTACATAAAAACTAGTATTTTGGTATTTTATAGAATTTCAAAAGGATCCACAGAAGCATTTTCTGTATTTTGTTTTTATAGAAATATATTATTGCCAAGATATTTTTTAAGAAAATTATCATCTATGTTTCTTCAGTATCATTCTCTGAATTACTACCCCCTCCATCTTTTAATGTTTTAAAAATAACGTAACGAAAATGTAAATTACATAAAAAGATCAATAAATGTATCTATTTATCTATAATGTTGTTTTTCGGTTCGAATAAAATTGTTATTTATTTATTTTTATGTTTAGGACAAACGTTCTAGAACGCTATTTCAACAAAGACTTCACCTTGATTCTCCCAGATAAGAAAAAAATTACCGATATCAAATGGTTCGCCATCTATGACATTTGGAGTCAAAATACTTTTGGCGATATTTATATCCCAGAGGGATTCGAACCGCCAACCATTCAAAAAATATCCACATTAGTTGGAAAAGTTAATGGTATAACTACGGAGTCGGTTGACATTTTGGATGCCAAACGCATAAGACTGAATCAATTTACGTACGATGGAAAAGCAAAGAAGGCGTTCTTTTGGGTTGGTGTTGGAGCGCAGCCTGTTTCTAAAGGTTTTATAGTTCCTGATGAATATGGGTAGTAAGTATTCGACACATATTTGTGAATATTGATAAACATTTATTTTTAATGCACTGGTGTGGAAAGATGGCATTTTCCGCACGCTTGTAGAAAAAACAATTAAAATGTTTTGTACGTTATTTGTTTTTGATTTTTTTTTACATTTTTAGCCTGGATCCTTTGAGATCATACAAAAATTTAACTATTATATTGGAACTACCTGGAGACAAAACAATATTTGAAATAGACTGGTTTAGTATTTTTGATCACGAAACCAAACAAAATTTAGCGTCAGTAATTATACCTGAAGCTTTAAATGTTCCTCCATCTTTAATAAAAATAATTGTAAGTATTTATACTCCAATAAATGTTAGTTAATAAATATATATTTATTCTAGTACAATAATTAAATTGTCGTACTTTCTACACAGTGTCACAAGGGTGGTTTTAAGAATTGAGAGTTGGTATTGGATTAGAATTTGTGTTTGCGTCGACGAGAGTCGAAATCTGATTGACTTCAAATATACTAGTTCGGATATCGAAAGCCATGTGCATCGGTAGTCCGGAGGTTCCAGATTCAATTCCTCCTCGATACACTCATTTTTCTTTCTTTAATTTTCAGCTTTTTCAATTTTTGTTTTGTTTTCATTTTTGAGACATGGGGGTGTATTTTTCATAATTTCGTAGAGGGAATTGGGGATTTATTCATTTTAATATTTCCAAAATTGCTATTTAAGTTTTTCGGATCTCAATCCATTTTTCTCACTTCACTTTCTTATCATGCGAGGGTTTCTGATTAGACTGACCAAAAAATATGTCTGCCCATGTATACCAAAAAAATAAATAATAACTATGCTTTTTTCGTCTGTATCAGTATTTAATTTAAATCCGTTAATATTGATATTCTAGTTATATCATACCTGCATAGATTTTGAGTAGAGTCGCCTTTGTTACTGTTTTCCCCATATCTCCACTTCATTTTGGTGGTGGAAAATAATCAAATTTTCAACAATTTGAATAAAAAAATAGACTCTTTTTTGTTTTAAAACTATGTATTATTAATAGGATGTTTTTTTGTCTAAGGTCATAGTTTTAACAACCAAATAATCCTTCTTTACTATATTTTTCTATTGTAGCCTCATAAAAACGATTTACCAAATTGTCTGCAACTTCACAAAGACTTTCAAGTATCTTGGGAAATTTTCGGCCCTGCAATTACGATTCAGTTAGCAGGCCAAGTAGGAGAAGATGAGTACATGTCTTTTGGTATATCTGGATCAAGTGATAAAAGCCAAATGATTGGAGCTGATGTAGCAGTAGCGTATATTGATGGATTTAGAGGATTTGCAAATGATTATAACATTACAGCTCTCACACCGGTAAATATACTTGTTTAATAATTGCTTTATGATATATTAGTAAGTTTGTTTTTCTTCAGGTTAGAACTTTTCAATATTTTTCATTTAAGTTTATAAAAAACAAAGGGAAAAGATAAAAAGTCTGTAAGTCGCATTTCCCTTTATGTAAATTTATGTTTTGTTATAGACAAAAAAGTATCCTCTACCATAATTTCAAAACACTTTGAAAAACTTTAGTATAATGAAAAGTTACAGCATTCATTACGCATTTCATTAGTGACTATTATTTCCGGAATCAACTATTCGTTATAGAGATTATATTTTTATTGATCGATCTTATATTTTTAGTGTGTCAAAGTTTTGGGCCAATACAAAGGAGTATGTAAAGATGAAGTAGTAGGAGGCCAAGATAGTAATCAAATGAACACAGCCGTTAGAGAGAATGGTATAAATATAATTACATATAGGAGATCGCTAATTTCTCGTAAGTATTAATTAATCACACTATTTTTTTATGCTTAGTTTATACACATTTTCTTGTAGCTGACCCTGGTGATAAGGAATTTCCTGCAGAAGGTTTCATATATGCCATCTGGGGAATAGGAAAATTAGATGAAATGAAAGAACCAGCTTTCCATGACTTATATTCGAAGACTGATATTAAAATTGAATTAAATCCAAAAGAACCACAAAATAACTGCCTTTCGTTTACAAGATCCAAATTAGAACCAAGGGAGCCGTGGAAAAAAGGACAAATATTTGATAAAACAATTAGAATTTTCAATTCTTATATCGGCCCTTCGGGTGGAAAAAAGGGATATCAGGCTATAACAGGTAATAATTTAAGAATTAAGAGTAGTAGAAGGATCAAAGTTACCATTAATTTTTACAAAATACAGGTCATCCATCTACTGCTTTGGCATGGTACATCAACGGAATGATATCTCCAGAAATATGGCTCCGAAGAGGTTTATCTTACGCCTTCAAGGTATATGGAGGTAATAACCCTCATAGCGCTGAATACTACCATCCTTTAATTATAACTGATGAACCCCATGGTGGCTTCGACCGACTGACAGACGAGGCTCAATCCAAAATAAGAGTTTTGGTCGGTGTAGAATATTCTAGGAGAGGAAGACCTAGGCCAACAACTTGTAAGTGGTTTACTGCCATTTTGCAACACATTTTAGAAAATTACAATTTTATCTATTCTAGCCGGTCCACTCTGCTTAGCTGAACACAAACCAAACCAAGACAGAAGACTTGATGATGACTTTGAAACTTTCAAAAAGTTTAATCGTTCCCTAATATCTCACTGCGAAAAGGGAGACCCTGGAATTTTAGAATTCACTCCAAATACCTCCTGGCCAGATATCGTTTACTACAACTCCTTCACTCAAGCAAACATGGGCTGGAAAATACATATCGTCGATAGCTTTAATCAAAGACAAAGTTCACCAAGCGAAAAATTAGTGTTAAATAATTTTTTATATTTTGCTTCTATGTATTTAATTGTTAAACAATTAAGTCAAATATTTATTTAAAATGTCATCTGCTAAATTTCCGGCAATTTTGATCTTTTATATATAAATGCTAATCAAAATACCTGAAAAAAAGTCAAACTAAGATAATTTCCTATAGATTTATTTGTTAAATTGTTTTTTTTTTGTTTCATACTATAAAAAGATGTCGAAATGTTTTGCTACAAATCAGGATTTAATTTAGCAAAAACTTAATTAATATCCTCGAAAAAATGACGTGTTTGTAAAGAATTTGCATTACAATAAATAAATGTTGATCTATTTGTTTAGAAATTATTTCAAAAAAATTAACAGGTATCTTTAAGCCGTCCCTTCCCCTGGGGTTGAAATTCACTCGCAAGGGGGTGAATTAGGGAGAGTTTTTTATTATTATTATTAAAATATTATTCACATATGTCTTATACTTACATTTTTTGTCTTATATTCACATTTGTCAATTATTAGTAAAAGATAAAAATACCTATGTACATGTAGATAAAGGTTATTTAAATTTGTTTTGCTGGAACCACTTTTTCAAAATTTTATTTAGTTTTTAGACAGAGAAAAATGGAAAAGTCCTTAAAATAGTCAAAAGCTTATGATTTTTTTTTAAATGTAATCAAATTTTGAAAAAGTGGTCCTATAGGAACATACCCAGACAGCACACCAAATCCTTTGGATATCTACTGAACATCCCAATATCCACTGAATGTCCAGTCCATGGTAGATATCTATTTTATATCCATGAAATGTAATTTATAGACATGCAAATGTCCATAAATAATACTAATTATATAGCAAATTATTAAAAAATTACACCATTGTGGCTAATAGTACCGTTCAGATATTTAAAATTAATTTTTTTAAGGTGTATTCAATATCCCATGAACATCCACTAAATATATCAAAGTCTAAGCGCGGACGCAAACCATCGTGGATATCCACTAGATGTTATTTGATTCTGCTTACTAAGTATAGATGGCGATACCACTATCGCATTTACTCATGCTCGACCCGCCGTAATTGAGTTCGATCGAAATTTGTGTCGTAATCACTCCATTAGAGACTGGAGTCGAGAATTTTCATTTATTGCTGAAGAGTCCTAATAAGGATGACTTTCTCCTTAGAGGGCAAAATCAAAGGCAGAGTGTTGAAAATATGTTTTATCTCTGCTATTTTCTTTCGACGTTATTCAATAATCATTGGTTACTTATGAACCTCTACTAAAGTTACCCATAAAATATTTTGCTGAATATCCGAATATCTTCTATATCCTGGGATATAGACGGACATTTGGTTGGATATCCATATTGGATATGTTGAATATCCACAAAATATATTCTGTGGATATCTCTGGGATTTCTTGTATTTTCTGGAAGATACCCATTAGATATTTTGCTGAATATCCATTAGGATATCTTCTATATTCTGGATATAGACGGACATTTGGATATCCATATTAGATCCACAGAATATTTCTGATATCCTGTGGATATATTGGATATCCACAAAAAATATTCTGTTGATATCTCTGGGATTTGGTGTGCTGTCTCGGTAAACTATAATATTTTTTTTTTCAAGGGATGTATACTTACTACCACCAGAAGTGTGCTTAGCTATAGGTATTTCACATTAGATAAAGATGATAATTGCTCAAGTAAATTAGCCAGTGGGTCATAAAAGAAATCATGAAATTAATAAAATCCCTATGATATAATTTTGGTAAAATAGCATGAATTGATTATGAATTTATTTCTTCTTATATTTCATTGGGCTGTGACGCTATTCATATTTTTTTTACACCTACATGAATATTATCTATTTTACACAGATTACAGAAAGAATATAATGAAAGAATATAATATTCATATCAATCCTAGTAAAGAACTCTGTTGGATCATGCCGGATTTCTTTCTGAGAGGTTATCTGAAGAATCCTGTGTAAGTGAATCAATCACAAACTCTGACAGTCTTCAAGGCCATAAGGCAAGAAATTGTCAATGAAAACCATGGAAAATGAGCTAAAAAGAGCTTTTCATTACAGAAGGTGGCCATTTGGTTGATGTCATGTACTAAATTTGTTTTTTATTGGTGCCACAATTATTTAAAATATATATTAGAGCATGACTTTGCACTACCTTGTATATAACAATGTTTAATACTTAAAATTATGTAAGATAAATAGCTTCCCAAGTTGGTAGGGTCCAATAACAATAAGATGAACACAGCTACATCATCAATTGACAGAGAAATTGGCTATCACTGCCTATTGGAAATTTAGTGGCATGCTAATAATATAAATATGTTTGAATAATATTTTTAAAACAAACAACTCACATATTCTTTATTTATTGATAGTTATAGAATAGATGTTACTATATATTGGAAATTCGAAATAATACTTATGACATAATGGAGTTCTTCTCATTGTAACATTTTTGACAATGTCTCTATGTTATGTCATTCAGTTCAGTTGCTGATTTGATTTACACTCCTCCTCCCATGTTATGTGTTTGAGTTCAGAAATAAAGTATTTAAGAAAAAATCCTTACATTTTATTTGAAATTACAGCCATCCTTACAATTCAAAATGTTCATTTTAACTTATAGACACTGACGTGAATTTATTTAGAACGTTTTTATTACCTTCTACAACATTTGCAGTTTTGGAGTTAGCTGGTTTGCAAGTTAAGGTATCGATATGCTATAATCACTTAGTAACCTCAAGTCATGGAGGAAGATTAGTTGATGATTCAATTGGTTCAGTTGAGTTGAGCTTTAGCTGCTTTTTGGCCTTTATGTCAGCCATAGTTTGTTCAATTGACCGCACATCCTTCTTATTTTCACTAGGAACTAAAAAAAGTATATAAATGAAAAGTATATTACATATTAACCCACATACAAACCCAAATATAAGAAACTGTTTCAGTTATTAAACAACAGTTTTGAATGCTTTAATCTTTATTATAAGAAAACATTGGAATATCAAGAGAACTTGATATTTTCAAAGAGTTTATTAAAAATGTGGAGGGAAAATGAAAAGAATGAATATGGGGAATAATGGACCATCTACCATGTAAAAAACGTCTAGGTGTTGTAAAATTTGTGTTAATAATTAAATAAAATTTCATTGTCTGAGTGGATCAGATAGTTGGAGCTGTAAATATTGTGCATTTTTGTGTGGTTACAAGATTTCCCTACATTTTCTGTAAACAAGTATAATTTTACAATCTGGAAAGTTTTGTAGTCAATTTAAATGCTCTAAGTCTTAGGCGGTGCTTCAATAAAATAAATATAATGCCATATATTAGTATAAACATAACTCATTGTAATCTTAACAAAAATTACTTACCAAAACCATAAGATTTGTTAGTCTCTGTCTTTTTAGCAGCTTTTAAGGCAGCATCCTGACCAATTAAATGTGCATATTTGTCCTTATAATTTGAATTTGGTATGAATTTTTTTTGTTTTTTGTTGGTTGAAGCCTCCCTTTCCTCTTCTAATTCCAATTTTCTCTATAAAAAATAATAATTTCATAAAATATAAATGAATCATTCTTCATTTTACCTTTTCAATAAGTCTATGCCTAATTTCTTCATTCCATGGTTCACCTCTTCTTCTTGCTGCTAATTCATCCTCACAAGGTGGATGATCTTTTCTGTAGATTCTAATATATCTATCTACACCATCAATTCCAAAAGCAAAAGAAAGGAGCCCACAGCTTTCGGCAAGTTCATGACTGAAAATTATAACTTGTTAATCTCCTAGTGGTTTGACAGAGAAATATTTATTAATCAAACATGTTTTAATCCTTCCATCCCCCTCAACTCCCCCATTTTAATTCAGATATTTTTCAGAATCAATACGCTTCTTCTTATATAAAGCTTAATTTTTGCTAAAAATTTCAAGTTGATAGCTTTTTTGCTTATGAGCAAGAATATTTAATATTTCAACTCCTGTAACCTCCCCTTTAGTCAGGTTTTTTCAATAGACTTCGTCCCCTTATAGAGCTTCCTGAAATTTTCAAATTAATATCTTTTTCGTTTTTGAATGCAGTTTACTGTGTGAAGAGTAGAATAAGATGGGCAGATTTGGAGCTGCTAGGTTAATGTAATAGATAAACCGACAAGAACATTTAACAAAGCTGGAACAAGGATAATTAAAAAAACTCACACTATACTTCTACAAACTTTATCCATTGGATCAAATTTCAGATTCATATTATTTTGATCTTGAAAATGAGATATTAATTTTGATTCCACACGATCTTTAAACCGTTTCAACTTCTCTTTTTCTTCATTCTGACGTCTTTCTAACTCTTGTTTTCGTTCTACAAATAGCGAAAAAAAAAATGATGAAAAGCATTTTAAAACAATGTCCAACGATACGCACTTTTCAATAAAATTTTTTCGTTTTCGCTTAAACTAGGAGGTTTGTCCATCGAATTCATGATAGATCCTAGCAAATCCATTTCGAATTTGTTTATAAAATTCAAGAGTAGGTCAAGAGAAAAAGGCGATTAATTTTTAAAATAATTAGCTTTTGTCGACTTTTTACGTCAAAACAATTTGACTTTGAATGAATGGCAGGGCACCATACTTTTTTACTTATAGGTTATGAAGTTAACCAAATAAGTGGCTGAAATTATTTATAGGCGATGTTTATAAAGTATCAAAAAAGAAGATAAAAGTTGAAACTACTATCGATAGATGGTGCCTCTAGTACATATCTACAGCATCCAATGCCATATATTTATATAGACTGCTTATCGAAGACGACGAAAAGCGGGTGATATTCTGTCATATTTCAGTCGTCCATATTGTCTTGCCGAGTGCTCACCAGACAGGATAGGCCTGGCCCAAATGAGTTTAAACCCCATATTATTTCATCAAAATAGGAATTGAATTAAAAAAAAATAATTACGCAAAAATTGAATGAACTCTTTAAAGATTTTACTAAAAGTAAGTAGCTTTTTAGTTCTCAGCATTCTAAAGTTTGTTTCCTTAGGACAATTATGGATTATTTCGGCGGTGAATATGAATGATTTGATGAATCAAAAATTAAACTCTAAAAGAATAGTTCCGGTACATAATAAGCTTCCATCAGTGGAAATTTGAACATCATAATAAAATCGACTGCAAAGCGCAATCTTATTGGCATGTCCTTTAGAATAAATTGCAATTAATCTATAATATAAAAATGAATCGCAAAATGTGTTGGTAAGCGCATAATTCAACAACGCCTGGACCAATTTTACCAATAATTTTTTTTAAATGTTCGTTGAAGTCCAAGGATGGTTTTTACGGTGAGAAAAATTCGAATAATTTCCGGGAAAACCCTAAAAACAGCCCTTTTCTTTTTCCCATATACGCGTGAACGGCTGGACCGATTTCGCTAATTCTCTTTTTGTTGTGTTTGTTATTGTCAGAAAAAGGTTCTTATGAAAGAAAAAATTAAGAAAATTGCGCGGAAAATTAGAAAATTTCTATATATATAAAAATGAATCCCTATTTCCATTGGTCACGGCATTACGCGTGTACGGCTAGACCGATTTCACTAATTCTTTTTTTGTTGTGTTTGTTATTGTCAGGAGAAGGTTCTTATTAAAGAAAAAATTAATAAAATTTCGCGGAAAATTAGAAAATTTCTATATATATAAAAATGAATCCCTATTTCCCTTGGCCACGGAATAACGCTTGGACGGCTGGACCGATTTCGCTAATTCTTTTTTTGTTGTGTTTGTTATTGTCCAAAAAACAAAGAATGTTATATATCATGAAGCATTAGAATAATAAACACTTTGTTTCTGAAATATTTTTTTAGTTAATTATACGAATTCGAAATCAATATTAATAGTTAAGAGAGGACAACGTTTGTCGGGTCCGCTAGTTTATAAATAAACTTACATCGTCTATTTTGGTTCTGCTATTTATTTAAACAAGATCCATTTTATTGTAAATGTTCAGCGACCGTTCATCAAATATGATAAAGAGGTATTATGTGTTAAATGTGTTTTGTTTTGATTCTGGCTGTGTATTTAAAAAGTTGCATTTCAGTGAATACCATATTAATTGTATTTTAAGCGAGATATTTCTATAATACTTTATTGTATAATGACACTAAAGAATCGAAATTGTTGTGTATTTAGTTATAGTAGTAGAAAAGGGAAAATAATCCCAATTTATATTTTCGTAAATTTCCTTTAGTTGATAGAAGTATTCAAATTGAAAATACTTATGGAGCAATGGAAAATATACTTTAAAAAAACGTTTGCTCTCACCACTTTACAAAAGAAGATTTCATCCTTCGAGGTTTGTAATTTTTTTTAATTGTAAATTATTAATATGAATTGTTTGATCTACTAATTTATGCTTTGTAAGTCTAAACAAAAAGAAATATATGCTTGTGTCTACTGCAGTACCTAGTTTAAATTTTCCTAAGCTAAAAGCTAAGGCAAGACATTAATAAAAAGAAAAGGAAGCCAGCAAAAACAATAATAATGTTGTTTCCAGTACTAGTAAAATATCAAATGGTGATCAAGTGTTGAGTTGTCTTCTTCAGGAATAATTTAAAATGTTTGGTTAAAAGTTATATGTTTAATTTGTTTTTGCAGTTAATGAACATATATCTACTACTGAAGCAGATAATGAATATATGTGTGATGCTGAAAAGCTTCTCGTAATTTACAAATAATTAAAAAAACTTAAAACAGAACATAAGTATAATTAAAACTAAACAAAATAAACAATTCAACAAAATGTTCGACTGAGCAATGACAATAACAACAAAATCTCAACTAGACTAAACTTTCTTCTAAACTGGTTCTGTAAAAGGTTTGTTTACGAGTAAGCACTTACAATTGAGACAAAACACAAACATTACATGTACTAGACAAAGATATCAAATTATATACACCATTTTGTATCTCATTTACATAAAAGTCTACGCTATAAACGGTTCTTAAGACATACGCAATAATTATTAATTATAGTCAAATATTGGTTAGACAGCTATTCGAAATCCCAGAGTTTCGATCCACATTTTCAGGCACCATATTCTAATGTCCAGCCAACCGCAAGCGCCTTTAAAAGTTGCCGTTAATACCAACCACAACCTCATGTTCATATCTTGTTTCCGCAAATGTACCGCTGAATATCGTTTGTGTTATGATTTCTCTGGGGAAATTATCCCTTTAAATGTTAGTTTCATTTCATAGGGAAGCAGGAAGGGCGAGTCAGTGGGTACAGCGCCTCAGGATTCGAATACTTTGAATATACGCCGGCTTAAAAAAAAACAATCTTGTGCACGGCAAAGGCGAACATGAGTTTGTGTTCACCTTTTTAAAGAAACATCGGTTTGTTGGCAAAGAAATGTCAAACTGGGTACAGGGTGTTTCATAATGATGTGTGTGTGTGTGGGTAAAGGGAGAGTTGGATTATAATTAAATCTGTAAGTCACTTACTTTTTTAAGAAAATGACTGCCTCAGGTTATAGCTAAACTCATAAATGTATTTTGATTTGCTTAAGAAAGTTAAGAGGTTAAAAGGTTATTAATGAATTTGCTGTCCTGACTCAACAAATAAGAAATTTCAACTGAATCGATAATTAATTATGCCATCCACAAAACTAGAAAACTAGAAAATCTGCAGCATTGGCTGTCGCAGATATTTCATAAGTATCTTAGCTACGTAAAGTATCTAAGATACCTTATAAGTATAAGTATCTTAGATACTTTTAGAAGTATCTTTTTCAAAAACCATCTTAGATACTTTCTTTGAAAATATCTTAGACACTTTTTAGAGGTATCTTGTATCTAAGATATTTTTAATACTTAGTATCTTTTTCTAAATGTATCTTAAGATACTTTTTACTAAAGTATCTGTATCTTGTATCTAGATACTTTTCCCAGCTCTGGTTGCTTGCCTACTCATAGTGTAATAAATTCAATAAAATATTCTTTCTGTATTTTGTAATTACAAAGCCTCTTTCCTTTACTTCTAACGCTTTATTTACTGAAAAATACATTCAGGATCCAAAATTTCTTAAACTTAAATTCTAATTAGTAGTAGTAGTAGAAGGGCTTTGAATTCTTCTGCTATAGGGCAGCAGGGAAAGGGGAAGACGGGACTGTAATGAACAGACTGTGGCAACTGAAGTGAAATCTAAAATGGACTACAAAGGGACAATTAACAAAGAAGTAATATCCAACGAAAAAAGAACTTCCATTTCTGAAAGTTTTACAATGTTCTGGTTTTTTTATTTTTTCGTTTTTTCGCGTTCGATTCCGTAATGGCTTTTTTGTTTGTTTTACAAAATGCCTGGAGCGAGAGTAAGAAATATTTTTTGAAGTTTGATTAAAAAACGTGAATTGGATGGAAATGAAAATGCAAATTTTTGTTCGCGCTTCTTTTATTTGTTTTTTCTTTCTAAAGTTGATTATGTGTATATGATAAAAAATGATGAATTTATACTGGATTGTTTTTATTTTTAAATATAATTCGTAAAATTAGTAATATAAAAAATTTGACTACTGTAGAAAAATAAAATGAAATATTCTCAGATCTATATTACACTAAAAAACAAATAATTTGCCCTATAGGTTTTTTTTTCAGCTATTGTTTTTAGAATTTTCGAAAATAAACTGAGATATATTTCTAAAGAATAATATTTTTTTTGTAAAATCAAGAGAATGATAGAAAAAAGAAGAAGAAAATTGAATAAAGCACTATGTGAAAAAAAAACAACACCAAGAATTATAGCTAAAGAAAATGTAGAATGTTAAGAAAAAATGGGATAACGAAGTACAGGAGGAGGAAAATGAGCTAATAAAGCATTAACTAGAAAATAGTTTAATATTTTTATGCCTATGTGTGGTATTAGAGATAGGGATTGTAAAAAATAAACAAAATAAATAAAAATAATAAAAAACACATAAGAATAATTTAAATAACTAATACAAGTGTAATACAGGAAGTAAGTAAGTAGTTTAAAAAAGTTATTTATCTTTTCAAGCGAGAGAAAAGAAAATATTGATGAAGTACATGATAATGTTGATAAAGTATATGGCAATGTTGGTGAATCTACAACTACAGCAAGAAACAAAAGGATTAGGAAACCTTCTGGCTGGCACAAAAATTATATATATTTGAAACTAATTTTGCAATTTTTGGTGAAGACTTTGACACTATTTCGTTAGCCTTGTCGGGCTTTCGTTGAAGATATTTCCAGAAGGATTAAGAAGCATAAAGAAGTTGGGAATTAGCTATGATAAAGGAAATAAAGTCACTGGAAGAAAACAGAACCTGGAGCTTTTACAAAAACAGGACGGAATGAAAATAATAAATTGTAGGTGGGTTTTTGCACATAAAATGGATGATAAAGGCAATATCTTAAGATACAAGACACGTCTAGTTGCTAATGGATTTACTAAGATATGGTTTTTATTTTAATGAAATATATACTCCAATGAAAATTTATTGACATGTCAGTTATATGTTAAATGGAGAGTTAGAAGAAACAATACATAATTTGTCAACCTCTAGGTTTAAACACAGATAAAAGTTTGGTTTGTAAGCTTAATAATGCTCTACATAA